CATTCTCCTGTGTTTAAAATATCTTTCCAGATCTAACACTGCTTGAGGAGACTAGGTAAAATGCTAACAGAAGAGTTAAAAAATCCAGAAGATACTTAAACACACAGGAAAGATGGACAAATATCACAGAAATAAGGCTGCAGCTTCTCTTAGTGTAGTAATAGTTCTCCACAGTAGGGTAGGGAGAGGTGTTGTCTGCTTGTTAAAGTAGATCAGTTATCAAAATATTTTTGACTCTTGTCTGATCTGTTCTTCAGATTTCATGGCAAAATATAATACTCTGTTTTCTGTTATAATCCAGTAACTTTCATGGTATTAAACTAATCAAAAATATCAAAAGGCATATCCCAGTACCTTTCCAGTTTTCTAAACCCTTAGGAATAAATTATGGTGGAATGGAAATGGCTGCAAGATAAAAGTGTAAACAGTTTCTCTCTTCAGTATGGTGGGAAAAAAGTTCAAGCAGCAAACTGAGAAGAAAATATAGCTTGTAGAGATATTTTCTAATGTACACAAATGAATGCTAAAATTAAAAGAATAATGCAGATTTGATGAGCTTCTGCCACAGCTATTGTTTGCAAAGAGACTGCTGAGGTCTGATAAACAGCTTAAGAACTTCATTAGCACCATTTTCTAATGAGCCTCTTGATTTGGTTGTTTTATTAGTTTTTCCAGATTTAAATTTCTTTTTTTCTTTTTTTTTCCCCCTTTTTTGGCGGACAAGATGTTTGTTTTATAGTCTGTTTCTTTACAGAAGCTGTTCTGCCTCTTTGAATGACAGCATAATTTTCTTTTCAAAATTTCAAGATATTTGACATTACTATCTTGCCCAGTGGGTGCGGGGTATTGGGTTGCAAATACTGAACTGCAGATCCTTATGCAGAGTTTTTGCAAAGCCTTGTATGTAAGTCATTGTAGTCAGCTGGATCACTTCACTGTGTAAAACAAAACAAGGACAAAAGCCCTTGAATATATAAAACTAAGTCATGCAAGTAACCAAGGGCAATGTAAGATAAGCAAACTTTGACTAAGTTCAGATAAATGTAAAAAAGTTTGCACGCTTTCATTTATCCTTTGGTCTGCACAAGTGAGTTGAACAGCCTAAAGAAACAGGATTTCCCTTGAGATTCTGCTGCTGCTCACTACATACAAACAACTATTCAGCGCTTTTCTTTCCCTTAACTAGAAATTTTAAAAAAAGGGAACAGGAAAAACTGGAAAATAAGCAAAAAACTGTTTGTAGTAAATTATTTAATTAGCCAGCGTCTCCAGGAACCATGAAAGATTCCTGACTAGTGTTATGCAACATAGTGAATTTGAATATTCATGTAAATAAGTAGCTTAATTCATCTTTCTTAAATAAATTACTAAATGTTGATTCTAAAAAATAAACTAATTCATAATCAGACTAGACCAAAATGGTCACACTCATAACTACCAAAATGTTTGTCACCATGAGTCTTGTTGAAGAAGTCACAAGATAATATTGTATTGACCCAGCATTCTCCCAGGTTTTGCAGCTTGAATCAGAGATAGAGCTCATTTGTATTTTTTGAAATATATGACATGTTAAGTGAAGAGCCACCACATGTAATTTTATGAGCAGTTTAAGCTAATCTAAAGCCAAAGTACAGGTCATGTAGAGAACTGACCCCTCATGAAAGGATAAGGCAACTCTCAGAGAGGCACTAGTGCAAGCCAAAGCTGTGGGAGCTAATGAGCCCAGAACTCAGAGAAATTTCTTCCAGTAGCAAAGGCTGAGATCAGCTTAGGACACTCCCAAAGTACTGCCCCAAGTTCCACATAGAAAGCTGGTAAAAATTCTAGATTCCAGCCAGAAAACTGAAAAACTTATATATTGAGAGTGAACCATTGACAGCTACTCTAAGAAGGAGTTCTGCCATGTGGGTTTACCAAGATTTCATTCTCTAGCTTCCTGCTATGTTATTCAGAAATATACACACCTTGCTACAAATGGTCAAGAAATCTGGAATACTTCACCAAAAGTATCTTTTTTTATTATTATTTTCCTGAAAAAGAAAAGGTGTCTCATTTTTCTAGAACTGTTTTTTTTAGTACTGTTCCCAAGCTGAAAAATTGGAAGTTATGCTTAGATGTAAGGAAAAATGTACCATGATGGTAGCTAAATACTGACTGCCCAGGAAGGTTGTTGAAACTTGCTGTCAAAGTGGTCAGCACTTGACACAGTCCAGAGTAACATGATCCATTTAAGACATCTTCACAGTAGGGGAGTGGACAAGATGACCTCTAGAAGCCCTGTCCAGACTAAAATAAGATTGTGATTTTTCTACCCATTTAGATAGCAGTAAAAAATGGGTTCAAACTATCACTCTATACCTCAGTGTATTCCAATCTTTCATGCTTGTCTCAAAGCAATCATTTGCAGTTAAATGTGTGACCACTTAATTTCTAAGACTTCATCTTCTGACTTTTGGGGATGAAATACCCTCTGATACATTTCTTGTAATTGTATTAACTTACAGTTGATATGGATATGTCCATTGTAAAAATGCCAGGCTAGGCACAAACTTCTCACCCTCGTGCTCACTGCATTTGTTTTTCTGTGCCATTCACTATTCTGTATGAGATGCAGCAGAGTAGGAACAGCACTGCTGCTGTGTCTATTCCTAGTGTTCCCTCCAAACCAATAGGCAGTGGCTGAATATTCTCCTATAATACTATTATTGGGATGGATGTTACAAGAGAAAACAATGCTGTTAGAAGGTATTTACCTCCATACAATGTTTTAAAATGTGGTGGTTGAATTTTTTTCCAGTGTGGAAATTATGTCATATCATTGTATTTCAATAATATGTTTCTCAAAAATGTATATGCTGGAAATTTTCCTAAGCCTCAGTTAGGTTAAGATTCCATGCCAGCACTGAAATACCATACAAGCAGAAGACCAGTTTTATGTGCAGATTGAGGGGTTTCCATGAGGTGAAAAGTAGAGAAAAATAAATGGCTTCTCTACATCCTATTCTTTATTTTTACTGCCATTGTACTGAAGCTATGACAATTCATTAGCCCCTCTTCCTCTCCTTCCACTAAGGTATGCCTTAGTCTTTGTCTCTTTATTTTTTGAAGTCCACTCTTTCAAACCTCTTACTTTGCATTTTGCATCCCATCCTCACCCATCTAAATTCCACCTCTCTTCCAAATTCTTTTGCTGTATCTCAGGCCTACTATGCACTCCCACTTCCTCTCTAAGCACTCCCTTAGTTTCCTAGCTCTCCTCTTGGGTCATGCATCCCCAAACTGCATTTTTCTCATGTTGCCACTGCTTTTCCTCCCCATTTAGAAACATTTTGTATAAGTTGCTATGCCAGCTTGCATTCTCATTAGAAAATTAATTAATTCTATTTTCTAGTGAACTCCACTAAGCTGGGGCAATTGGCACTTACAGATCCCTCATTATATACTGCTGATACTAGCATGAATATTAGTGTGCAATATCATTAAAATAAAAACATATCTACAACTATGGGGGTAGAAAATATCTAGTTTTAATAGGACAGGTTAAAACTAGAAATAGAAGGTAGGAAACATCCATTGTATTTTGAAAAGATTTAATATCCTGTCTCCCTTTTCCTGTCAGCAAAGTCAGAGTGGAATGGAAGAGCCTTCACCTAAGGAATAGCAGCAACCCGGATCCAGCCTGGCTCGATCTGTTCTGGCAGGGATTTCAGGGATTGGCTCTGGAGAGGTCTAACTCCCAATTAGGCTCAGTGGCTATCAGCTGAGAAGCCATTAATGTGAATATGTAAACTACAGGAAAGTTTGATGGTGACATGTTTTGTTTCTAGCTTGTTAAGCCAGTAATTGTTATTGCAAGTAGCGGCCATTCCCACCAGCATTTGCTTCTTGTTGACAATGAAGAAAACTCATTTGTTTTATAGCGTGAAGCCTAATTTACTTCATGGTTGGTTTCTTGCTTTGGCTGTCAATCCCAGATCTCGGAGAAAGAAATGCAGTGAGTTTTATGGCAAGCAGAATGAGTTGTAACTAAACAGCCAGTACAAAAAACTAAGGTTTCTGACTGACCATGAGAGGTGGTTCTTGAAAGGCACATAGGATCAAAAGCTACCTTTTGAATCATATTAGCCAAGACTGGCAGTCATTGATTACACCCAGATTGGCTAGTGATCTGTGGATGTTTTCCTTTCATTTAATATTTAATTTTTGTTTAACATTTCATTAAATTTGGCAACTCCAAAAGAAATTAATTCTGTGTCTTGAACTTTAGGCATCTAATGGGAAGATAATGGAATTTTGAGGTTAAGTATGTTTTTAAGACTTTAACTTCCTTATGAGTTATTGTAGCTAGTTGAATTCAGTAAAATAAAATACTGTAAACCCACTCATATGCTGAGTTGCATCTCTGTGCCACCGTGACAGAGTGAAGTTTAAATTAGTCATATTTGAACCAGAAAGATCCTACAGTGCATTGTACAAGTACAGGACAGGAATATCTATTGATATACCAGTCAAGTGTGGCTGTAAATACAGTAGCAATTTAAGTGTATAGAACATAGCAATCTTGTCTGCATACAAAAGGAAATAACAAAACTTGGATTTTGGCCAGGATTTCATCTCTCCTCCATCTTCCAAAAGAGGCAGCTCTTAAGTGACCACCAGAAATTAAGAACTTTGGTTTTTCAGATCCCTCCCAGACCAAATTCCTTGTTGGTTCTAAGGACAGTTAAGGATTTGAAAGACAGAGTGTGTATTTTGAACTCCTCTTGAAATATTTTCTACTGCTAAAAATGTTGGGAATTTCTGACAAGAGCTCTAAGAAAGAGGTAAATTGTACTTCTAAGTTTCATTTTTTAAAAACGCAGACAAAATTTGGCATTGTGTCTTGAATTAGTTGTGCTTCCCAATTTCTTGTTATCTTCCTTTGCTATCTGAGATGTCCCTTCTAGGAAGGAAAAAAAAAATCCACCCTTTGATACAGTTTCCTAGAAGGTTAGACTTACCACATCCATGATCTGCATGAGGCTGAGAGTGAAATACACAGTGAGTGGCTGGGAATCATTTGCAACTGGTCGCTCCAATGGATTGTAATTTTTCAGCAGCTCCTTGTAAAGCTTCCTTTGGAACTCTCCTTGCAGGGACTCTTTGGGCACAGGAATAAAAAGATAAATAATAAGGATTCTACATCAGAAAAAGCTCAGGCATGCTTTTTCACTCCTATCATATATTATGTATCTATTATTACACCTGCTGCACTCCCAGAGAAAAATGTCACTGTATTTCAAATAGTTCATTAGCTATTACAGCAAAATCCTAATCACAGATGTTCATCCCAGCCTGTAAGGGGGATTACCTCTTTGATCATTTCTTGACTGGCCAGGAGTGATACGTTCTAAATGCTAACGATGCTTTCTCAATGTACACACCCTTCGGTCCAGCAAGAAGTAACGAAGAGAAAATACAGTACCTGTGACTGGACACCTGTCCTGGCATAGTTATAACCAGAAAAGCAGAACAGAGATACAGCAGAGGGCATCAGCAAAACAATGGGAGAAAAATGGCCACAGGTTAGAACACTGCTCTCAGGCTGCTTCAGACAGAGAACTCTTCTGGGCAAGTACACTCCGATTTGTTCTCTGCTCATGCTGTTATAAACAAAGTGGGTTACGGGGTTCCTGGCAGAGATTATAGCCACTGCATTAATATACATACTAATATTTGGGGATTTATGTCCTTTATACACTTAAAATCCAGGGAGGATGCTTACTCTGCCGTCTTTCTGTGGAGAAAAGGAGCAGGTCTACATGAATGGAGCAGAGTAGACCAGGGACAGAGGCAGTTTTCAAATGAAGGGGAATATGCGACAGGGTAGGAACAGGTGCTTTGGATGTAAGTCCTACCTGTCCCACTCCAGACGGACTTCCCTCTTCCCAATTTTCTAGTCTTCAACTCCCCCCACAAAAAGCCGCAGCCTCTGCTCTGGGACAACCACCGTTTAGTCCCTCGACAGAGTTCGCTCCCCCATCCCCACCGTCCTTCTCCCGCGTCCCTTCCCGGCAGGTCCCAGCTCTGGCCAGCCCACAGTGCGGCCCGGGACGGGGGCGAGCCCCGCAGCAGCGGCGAGGCTGGGAGAGGGCAGAAGGGGACGGCCGGGGCCGGAGAGCCGCCGTGCCGGGGAGGACCCGGGGCTGCCGTCCCCGCCCGACCCACCTGCCCCGGGTGCCCGCGGGGCCGGCAGCACTCACCACGGACGAGCCCCGCCGCTGCCAGCAGCCACACCGCCAGCTCCTGGAGGCCCATCCCGGGAGAGCCGGCACCGCGAGGGACGCACACGCCAACAGCAGCGGTGGCTTCTCCAGCCGCCGAGCCCCGCCAGCCCCGAGCCGCCGACGGGAACTGCTGGGAACCTCTGGGAACCTCTGGGAACCGCCGGCGCCCCGGGCACCTCCGGCAGCTCGGCCCCTTCCTGCGCCCGTACCGGAGCTCGCCCTACGGCGCCGCCGGCCCGGGCGGAGCGGAGGGATGCTGACAGCCCGCCTCCCCGCCCTGCCTCTCGCCTGATGGATTTCCCTCCCTTCCCTAATCCTCGAGCGTCTCCGGGCCGGAGGGGAGGGAGCGGAGCCGCTGGCACGCTGCTGCGGCAGCCGGAGCGATGCGGTGCGGCTGGGCGAGGGGCCCCGGCATTATAGAGCCGAGAGCGGGGGCGGCCCCCTCCCCTGGCGGGCAGCCGCGCCCGCCCGCAGCCGCTGCCCTCCCCGAGCCCGCAGCGGCACCGCGGGGTGGGAGCACCGGCTGCTCGGGGACAGCAGGACAGGGGAGCACCGGCTGCTCGGGGACAGCAGGACAGGGGAGGGGAGCCGGCCCGATCCCCTCGGGCAGCACACCCTGCCCGCGCTGCCCCAAAAGCCAAAGGGCATCAGCCACACTCAAGCCCCCCACCGCTCCCCGGCCCTCCTCGGCACAGGTCATTCATTCTCCTTCACCATCGGCAGCATGCTGCTGTTGTGGGAGGCGTGAATCAGCCCAAAGGGCAGCAGAATGCCCCGGGCAGGATAACCCCTGCCGGGGGAGGGCAGCACAAGGGGAAGGCAGCCAGGGCACGGACCAGGGCAGGGCTTGGCTTAGGTCACAGCTGGGGGGAGAGCAATGGCCACAATGATGTTGCACACGTGGCTATTAAATCCCCAGCAGAGATGCAGGGCTTGGGGCTCAGGTGCTGGATGTTTTGTCTAGATATGGGAATAAAAGCCATGGCCGAGGGGCATTGTGTTTAGTGCTTGACAAACACGTGACAGTAAAACGGTGGCTGAGCTCCTGCCTGGTACAGGTATAATGAACCACAGTTGGAAAGCAGGCCTAGAAAATTCAATTCATTTTGTTGATTGTTTCCCATCTGCAACTCTAAGAGCAATTTTGAGACCATGGATGAGTTATTTCTTTCAGTCCAAATCCCTGCCCTTCAAATCCAGTTGCTACATTAAATGAATGTCCTAGGCAGCTGCGCTGTAAAAAGAATGTTATTGAAGAATGTCATCATTTGCAAGGGGTAGCTAAGTGCTTGTTTTTCAAATGACGAACAAGCAGCAGTTTATTTAGCCCATGTTAATTCTTGGCTTTAAAAATCCAGGTTATCTGTATTGGCTTAAGCACTGACCTAATTTATGTAGCAACTGTTTAAGTATTTTTAAATGTTGAGCACAAAAGCAGATGCATCTTGGGGCAACCTGAGTAGTTCAGCAATTGGGACATCATGTGTTCCAGCTGTCACTTACAGCAGGACTGAAACCTTCCACTTTTCAAATGAGCCAACGTGCCAGACAACTTTACCAAGGGGTATTAGAAACCAGCAAGTGGTAAAGCTAACTCTCCAAAAGCCAAGTAATAGCTGGTGGTTTTTTGGGTTTCAGCTGTTTTTTTTTTTCATGAGATACTGACCCTTTCGACCAGCAGACAAGAGTGAGTTGCTAGGGAAGCTCTGTGTTATTCACAGAAAAAACAATTGTTGTTATTCATTTGTACTTCAACCTTCCCATGGCAGTGCTCTTAGTATCTGGATTTTTGCCCTGTCTCATTTTGGAAAGAAGAGTAATTTTCTTTCCTCCTTCTACTGTTATCCACTGCTGTTTTGGCACAGGTGCCCCAGATATTTTTGGGTGTTCAGTAAACAACATGAATTGTTCAGGCAAGAAATTAGGAGAGAAAATCTACAGTTCATGGCTGACCTCTACTGTTGGTTCATTTTTTTGCTTTACACTTTGCTTTGTTGACAACTGCCTCAGCCCTCTGTGATGAAAACAGGGTCAGCGCTGCACAGCCCAAGGTCTCAAAAGGCAAACCTTTCCAGGGATGGTGCTGAAACCCCAAATTCCTGTAGTATAAGTGAGGAAATAATATTTTTTTAACCATTTCTTTGATAAATTGTGATTTATATTTTGTTTGTCGCAGTCTCATTTTCATCTGATGTTAGCAAATTAAATTTTATAGGCACTTCAGGAATTCTTTTGATATTCTTTAATAGCGATCAGCACCTTAACTCCTTGATTAAATCATGTTCAATCAGGGGCATTCTTACTAAAGGTTTTACTTTTCAAGTCAGAAATTCTGCTGTGAATGCATACAAATGGCAGGAAAAGGTCTTACCTGCTTTCTCTAGACATCCTGGCTAATAAAAGTTAATTTCACAAACATTTATAGATACTGTGTAGATACTAGCAAAGAAACATTTAAAAACAGTATACTGAATCCTCTAAAAGCCTTTATTTATGGCACTGGTTATCTCTGTGGAATTTGGTGTTTACAACTTAAAAGCAAGTGGTACAGTCTGTGGCCAGCAGAAGCTTTCTTTGCCTGCAGGGCCCACCGGAGACAACACCTACTCCCCTCTGAGCTTTGATTCTTCTCTCTCTGCTGTCCAGCCAGGTGATTTGGAGGCAGCTGTTTCCCCTCCCTAGATAACTTCTTAGACACAGTGATGAATGTGAGTTCACTTTACAGTTACAGGCTGTAGCAATCATTGTGGGTCTCCCAGCACATCTTCCACAGTTGGGTGTTTGCCAGAGTATAAAGAAGCCCATAATGTCTGCTTGTTTCTCACATACATAGGATATAATTAGAGATAGCCAATTGTGTGTGTCTGTTTGTGAATAACCAATTGCTCAAGGACACAACATTATGCACAGATCATGTCACATATGTCAAGGTCAGGTATAGAAAGTATGTGTGGTAATAGTGTGCATCCAGTACCGGTGTGCTATTGCTTCTTTAGCTGATAAGCAGTGAAGTAAATATGTCAATGTACAAAAGGCTTCACTCAAGTGCTGTTTCAGGTCTATTGTGAGTCTGAGAGAGGCACAGGGCTACTAGAGAAACAGCTACAGGATTCTGAATTAGTGTGTCTATAGAAGTGACCCCCATCATGACTGTAAGATGATTGTTTATACCCAAAGACCATCCTCCTAGTTCATTTTACAAGGCTCATCTCATGCGGTGGTCAGTGAAAAGAGCCAGGGACTGAAGAATATTCAGAATGACTCACGCAGTCATTACAAGAAGTTGCAGTTGCCCAAGGTTTATAATATCCCAGAACAAAATTGTGCATCTTTCTGGTGTGACAGAAGATGATAAAATAAACCTGAGAAGAGGCTGATAGTGAAGAAGTGACCATCTTGTACTGTATCCATGTACAGTGACTGCAGCACTTAGTGACTTCGATCTAATTATTGTGTAGCTGCAATGACCTGGGGCTCCATATCAGAAAATATTCTACTTTTCCTTCATTTTCATTCTATTTACAGAAATAGGTAAAATAGGCTAGGATTTTAAATGGTACCTAACACTACATGTTAATTCTTGAATGTTCTTTGAATTAAATGATCTCTTTATTTGTTAGCTGCCTTTTTTTTTTTTTTTGGTAGTCCTGGTAATTGCATGCCATGTTATTAGTTATTCTCTGTTGTTTACTTTGCCCAATGAGTAGTCTCAGGGATTGAGAAAATACATGTGACAAGCTTGATTTTTTTCTGTAAAATGTCCTGAAATATTATGTGGTTCTTCCTTGCAGGAGGTAGAAAGTAGTCTTGATGTTGAGTTTTCCATGGAAGAATGAATTAGTCATCTGAAATAGAGTTAATTTTGTGATTGAACTTTATATTCTCTACAGGCTAATTTGAACAGTGGTTCACAAAGGTAGTGTCTTCCCCAAATTCTTAGTTCCTACACCAGTATGTGATTTCCAGAAAATGATCCATGCCCCCAATTGTCATCTGTTGGGAAGGATAAAGAAGAGCACAGACTATTCTGTTGTTTAAATATAACAAAGCTGCTGCCCTGCCACTTTGTAAAAAGTAATTACAGAGAGTGTTTCTGAACAGTGCTCAGATGTGAATAATAAGGATTTGTCAAATTTGCCTAATGACTGCGTAACTAATGAGTAAGACCTGTGGTCATTTCTGTAATGCAAACATTTTTCTAAATTCATACTTGTCTTTTATTACTGTTAGCATACACTCACATTAAAGTGTGAGCATATTAAACAACAATGGCAGCACCACTGTGTTTCTGGGAATGAACCATCTCAAATGCTTTAACTATAGATCTTTCTCAGAATATCTATCCTACAGGTGCTTTTCTCTGTCCAAAGAAATATCACATGTTTTTACTGACATCAGGCTCAGCACATTTGCACTTTAATTTCTGTATAAGGAATTATTGTTCCTCTCATATCAGCCTCTGTCAGGTCCTTCTGATGCATTTTGTAATTCCAGGGCTTGGCATTCATTTCTCTCTGACATACAAGTCACATTACAGAGTTGCTTTGCCATCTTTTTGGATGAGTATGAACAACAGAAAGTTGACAAAACTGCTTTTCTTCACCCTGGTTAATTTTAAACAACTACATAATTTAGGGTTCAGAGAAGCTAATTAAAGTTGGCAGGAAATCTGCATTTTAAGCCTACAGCTTTAACAGATCCTCATCTATAAGCATCTGAAGATCAGCCTTATTTATCTTGTCCTAAAGCAACACACTAGAAATTTTTCTTTCCTGAAAAAATTGCCGTCTGCTACAATTTAAATAACTAACATATATTCCACAGAAATGGTCACTGGGTCTGAAAAGACCATTCTAATAAGGCTTTTTGACCATAAAGCTAAGCTCAACCCTTTTCAAAGACAGAATGTTGTAGTAAAACTGAGAGCAAATTCATTTAAACTTTGGACTTATATTTGAGGCAGGGGACGAGCCAAATTTATACAGGCAAGATTTCTAAAAGGAAAACTAGTCAGGGTGCTAGCTACATGTCTAGC